GGGGAGTGGTGAATGAATTTCCTTGTTTTGCTTTGCTTGAGTGCACGGCTTTTGCTTTACTTGTTAAACTGTCTTTATCTCAACCCACGAGTTTTCTCACTTTCACTCTTCTGATTCTCTCCCCATCCCACTGTGGGGGAGTGAGCGAGTGGCTACATGGGGCTTAGCTGCTGACTGGGACGAGTGAGTGAGCAGCTGTGTGGGGCTTAGTTTTTGGCTGGGGTTAAACCACGACAAGGGTTTAAAACGCTTTCTTAACTTTTGTTAGAATTTTGTTAGACATTATTAAGTTTGAGCACAAAAACTAAGCAGTAAGAAGGGAAAAATATTTTTCACTTCAGTCCATAACAAGAGGGTAATCCTCATTTAAAAACATGCCTTTAAGTTCATAAGCCAATCTCATAACTACATGAAGTATTGATAGTTACACAGACATATATAACTGACTTTCATAACCGATGCTCCTCAACAAAGTAAGACTCTCACAAGCAAGTATTCCATTGGGCTGATGAAAAGATGTGTCAGAAAAAACTTTAAGTCTCATCAGACTAAGGTAAAATGTATCTCAAAAGACGATACATCCTTAACACTCCAAGGAAACAATAACACAGAAACAGAAATTCCTTGGCCAACAGTCTCACTGGCTGAATCCTTTTCTTATGCACAAGAGTAAAGTAGAATTTAAAATAATTCTGTCTAGCAAGAGTTTTTATATTTAAATGTACACACAAAGAAGGGATTTCCCACAAATGGAATTTCCCAGGAATGGTAGCTGTTGTCTCCAAGGGTCAATCTCTACCTGTTAAAATGCTGAATAGAAGAATCGTGAATAAAAGACCAGATAATGCTGACTGGAGATTTAAATATAGAAGATATCACTGTAGATTAGATTTTAGTATCTCAATTTCAACATGTTCAAAATGGCTTAAGACAATAAAAATGGCTGCCTATTTTCTTGTGCATTTTAATCACAAAGTGCAAATCAGTACCAGTACCAATCAAAAAAAAATTAAGATGGAAAGACTTTCTTTAAAAAGTTTCTTAATGGGCTTGGTTGGACTGTAAATAACTTACTATATTACTTATTTTAAAACTGTTATCTTTTTTTTTTTTAAACATTATTTAAATATAAATTAATGGAGGCTGATTGCCATACATTTAGAATATCAAATGGTTCCTGACTTCACCATGAATTTAAGCATACGCTTAATTTTAAGCATTCGACTAGACCTGCAATTAATTGAATCGGAGCCAATTACGATTCAATTATGAGTCTTCTGTAGTTATTGCTTGAAAGAGATGGATTTCTATTGAAGGCAAAAGAAAGTATTTCTGATCTGTACAAATACTTAAAGGCTATTAAAACTGTTACCTTTGACTTTTTTTTGTTACTTTTGCAAGATATATATTGATAGGCTTTTCCACAGCATTCATCAATGCTGCCTCTGTGTGTTCCAGCCACAATAACTAACAAGCAGATATTATGCCACTATACTGATGATTTGTTGAGAGCAGACACAGCTAAAACTGCAGTGGGGCAGCAGTTCCCTTCCTCGTATTTCTGCTCTCTGCACAACACTCAGGCGTGGGCAGTGCAACTGCAGGAGGCAACCTGAGCATCAGTGGGTGATAAAGAGGAGACTGAAGGAAAGGAAGGAAAAGCCTCAGCTGTTGAACTCTATCAAAGACAAACTTACTCTTTTCCCAGAGCTACTTTCCAACATGACTATGTCCTATTTGTTGGCTATTCCCTTAGAATGTTACAAATAAATGAGTCCATTTCCTCCCCAAGAACACCACTTTAAGGTTTCAATTGCATATATACCTTCACAACTTCATTTACAGTATTTAGCATGTAGGAAATGGAAAAAAACCCAACTATTCATGGATTTTTTTTAATGGTCCAAGTGAAATGTTTCTGAGAATCTATATTTATTTGAAATAAGACTCTTGGGTGAGCATCCGAGGAAATTTGTATGATGCTTCATGTTTTATAAATGGCATAGAAATGAGTGAGACTGTTAAGGCTTTCTAATATTTGAAAATATCTAGCAAATGGTTTAGTAGAACTTTCCACAACGAATAAAAGGTATAAATTACCCTCATATAACAAAACAGCACACAGAAGGGCTGATATATTGTTTTTCCTCTTCCAACTCAGTGCCATTGATTGTCATCTCTAATACCATCCCATAAGACTTTTGCTGGATCACAGCAGAGTAAAAATGGAGAAAGGGGGAGTAAAAGGCAGCAGCAATTTCTGCAAAAATGTTAAGAGTTACTAATGTAATTTTAGAATAAAACTAACAGTCATCCTAGAAAATTTTCACTGCCTACTTATTTCTATTTTGTTCTCCTCAAACACTGAACGGAAACTTTTCTTTCTAGTGAGTTAGACTTCCTGGTTTTCATTCACCAGCACAATGCCACCTCTACCTGATTTTCAGTTCCTGCAGGTGGTAGTTCAAGTCCCAGCTCAAAAACCTAATCAAACACATATTCCAACTATTCTCCCCTGATATGAACCTGTGTTTAAATATCAAACTTCTGAATCACCTGCTACTAAAGCTGACCTCAATGAACAGTTAACACTGAGCATGCTGGCAGCCCATCCCTTGGTGGGCACCTACACGCTTCAGTGAAGGCACATGCTTCCATGCTTTATTGTATACAGAAGTGTTTGTCCAAAATCACAGTGGCAGTCAGATGAATGCCTATGATCAAAGCTCAAGAGTCCTGACTTCTGCTTGTGCTGTGTAACCACCAGACGTTCTCCACTCCAATACATACAGGATACAATCTCTCCACAAAGTCAATGGGAGTTTGGTCATCAACTTTCATGAGATCAGGAATCGACCCATAATGTTTTATAAAACAATGAAAAGGAATGTATTTATGGTTTTATTATTATCCCTAGTAAGGAAATAAGGAGAAAGAAAACACAGTACATGGTCTAGTCTATATGCACATGTGTTATTTGTATTAATATCGATGGGATTTAAAAGTACATATGGAGAGGATAAGATATAGCCCTATGTGTTCAGCCATATGCTTAAGGAAGCTCCCCAAATGCTTGTAAATACAATGATGCTTTCTAACATACTATGTATTTATTTGAACAACGTTAAATCTCTAAGCCCTACTTTCCAGGCCATTAAAGCCTCAAATAATTGTTTATTTCCAGTTTAAAGTTACTCTCTTTTTTAGCCATTAGAAGGCTGCCTGCAACCACATTTCCATGATATTCAGGGAATTAGAGAATTGATAATAACTCTCCCATTATCCGAAGGCGTACCTCTCTGGGAAGAGAAATACTCAAGATGAACTATATTTTAGTGAAAAATTCTTTCCAGAAGATTTGGGGAGAGGCCCAAAATGTGTAGCTGAAAGGTCTGGAGTGCTACTTATACAACAAACATGTGTTCATGTTGTAGACCTCGGACAACTACATTCCTTCTGGAGGCCAATGGACTTGAAATCTAGTCATTCTTTTGGATAGATTTGTTCTCATTTCCTTTTTGTTTTTAAAGGTTTGAACACAGGACAAGGGTCTGACCCACTAGACACAAGAGGGTTATTCTGGATTTCCCTTATGGAAAAAGACATCAGAATTCATCCCATGATTTATGGTCTGGTGCAAGTTGTCTTAGAATGAGATGGCCAAAGTGTTTATGGAATATCCAATGCCTGTTAGCAAATGATGCTCATTATGTTCATGCAACTGATCATTCTACTTGGCTTATCTTTTACTTCCTTTCAGCTGAGACTTGCTAGCTGAGTTTATGAACACTCTTGAGTAGTTTTATTAAAAAGATGATTGTGACGGTTTACTGGATTAACTGCTTCAACTGATGTTGTAGCCACAAATATAAAACAATCGTCATGGAGGCATAATCATGACATTCATGGTGCCCTTATGACCTTACATGCAAATGGAGCGCAGAACCAAAAGCCAACTTTATTTATACCTGGCTGCCAAAAATCACCTTCTTAGCTTACTTGATGTAACCCTTTCAATGCCAGGGCTATATGGCCGTTTACTTTTTTTAATATCCTCCAGAACAAAAGTTCATAGTGCGGTATTACAATTTTGTTTTCTTGCTATTTCTTTTTGACCATAAACATGATTTGAGAGCTCAGCTTTCATTTTACCTTTTAAATCTCTACTTATGATAAAAATCCCCAAACAGACTTTTTCCTACTGAAATGCTTCTTACTTTGTAATACAGAAAAACAAAACAAACAGTCATCATCTTTTTAAATTACATCAATGAATGGTGAAGACAAATCCGGTTTCCCAGCAAGGAATTATTAAAAGACAGAAATAGTCCAATGACCGCAGGAAATCTTTAAGCACCAAATTGGGGACAAAAGTCTCCTGGGGAAAAGACAATATTTCCTACACGGTCATTCACGTCTCCTTGTAATACAATACAGGGGTATTGTTTGTTTGTCTGCTTAAGTAGATGCATAGAATAAAATTAGAAACAAATCCTGACTATGAAAACATTTCAGACACTAGATGCAGGCACAACTGTGTTGTGATACTTCTTTCTCATGTATAACCAGCCAGACCTTTGATCATTAATATATACAGCATACTTGCCTCATTATAATAAAGGCCATCAACTGCCAGCAGGATCTTTGACTTCAGTTCATATTGTGTCTTGCTTCAATCTTAATATTAGTCATAAAATTTGTCAAAACAATGGGAGAAATAGTCTAAAATAGATGCACTTTATAGTCAGCCCCCTCCTCCAAGGAATTCAGTCAAGGAATGTAAACCCAAAGATGTATTTTTCTGCTCAGGTCATGCCTGGGGTAGACTGCTGTGTTACTAAATTCCCTAGTCTGAAATTAAGAGCAAGACAAAATTAACAGGCCTCAACAGGCAAAAACATCCTGAGATAGCCCTCCATGGACCATAACCAAGTTACAGCAATAAGCATTATGCCCACCATGAAGACGATTCAGAAAAAGGCATGTGGCCCACACCTTACCTCAACGTAGTCCCTGGCATGGCCCCAGTCCCTCTTAGCATCCAGATTGCCCAGGCTGAAACAATCCAGCTGTCCAAGATGAATCTTTGCTACTGACCGGCTAATTTTTCGAGTAACGAAGTTAGCCCCTGGAATAGAAATAAAAGATTGCATCAGCATAGTCACAGCGGCAGATAACTGGCCACACGAAACACCTTGTATAGCTCAGCACATGGTATTTCCAGTTTTCATTCTCTACCCTCACACCACCTAGACCCCATGCCATCATTTATCGTTTGAGTCGGCTAAGAAGCCTCCGGTGCAAGTGTCACACTAGCTGTACTTTCACAGCAAACATCTCTCTTTGTGGGACTTCTTAAGCATTCCTAATTTGCTGCCTCAGTATTCAGTCCAGGCATAAAGCCAAAGAAAATCATTTGGAATGTCAGTTCTTAAACACAAAATGCAAAGGTTACATAAAGAAGACAGACATCTTAGACCACCCTCAAGTTTTTTGTTGCCGTTTCTTTTTTCGTATTTTTTTTTTAAGGAATGCATACATCTAAATAAATTAGTTTATTAATTAAAAAAAAAAAAAGTGAGACTATCCAAATACGGCACGTTCCCCAAAGGACTGTTAATGGTTCAACACATTCTACTTTTCTAGTTATTCGGGATTCTTTGTACCCCAGGTTCAGTGAGATCATGAAATTGTGATTTCAGATTTATCAGTTGAAGGCTGTACATTATTTTATCATAACTCAGTATTTTGTTCACTGTATTGCTTTTGAAAATTTGTGTACCCATTTCTGCTCCCTGTATAGTTGCTTTAAACAATATTTGTTTCTAGTTATTTTCATATCTTGATTTTTAGATTATGACAGCTGTATTTCTAAAACGTGGTCAACAGTCTTCTCAAAAGCAGAGGGATTTCAATTTAGACCATGGGTTCAGGCTAAACCAGCCTAATGGCATTTGCACACTAATGGGCCACAAAATTAAAATTACATGCCTTTTTAATAGCTAAAAAAATAAATGATTGAGTGGTGACAGATGATACCTCATCCAAATGGAAAGCAGGAAAGTAAGTGAAAATGATTGCACTTGTAAAATGCTCTTAGCAAATTTCAAAAGTCCTAAGTAGTGCAGCTTGTACATCTAATGCATATACGTATTTTTTTCATTATGGAACTCCGTTCTTGAGATATGCATCTCAATATTTTCTGTTTCCTGTCAGACAAATGATAGGCTACTGCAAAATTATTAATGTGAAGTGTCTTTTTCAGACTATTAGTTTCTCCTGTAAAGTCAAGAGCACTATAGTTCCTTGTGTCATTTAACACTGCCAAAAGTAAAATAAAGAATGCACCTCTAAGAACCATGTGGAATGAAGCAATTAAATAATTCAGATCTTAGCACAGGATTAAGATAGAATTTTAATTTTCTGTCAAGTGCTGAACTAATTGGAATTCCTGTTATTAGCCATTTAGAATATACCATCAGTTTGTGCTTGGTTTTTTGAAGGATGAAATTCATATAATTTCCCATATTCCCTGAAAAAGTGTTCATATATAAAGGAAGCTTACAAATCAGTGTGATTTGCAAAATTTCAGAAATAAAATATACTGGGGAGTCTTTTTTAATAGAAATATTCCTCAAAAACTGGACAAATGAGTCAACCGCAAGATGAAAGCCCAAGCCCTTTTTCCAGACTGCATCCTGCATACTCAACAGGAGAAATACAATTATCCCAAAGATAAAACAGAGCAAACCACAGGACTGACACTGTGACTCTGCTATTGTAATTTCTGAAAGCAAAGTACTGTGGTTGCTCTGTTCCTGGCTGGATGGCCTTGCAGCAGGAGTGGAGTTCTGGCTTAAACAGAAACCAGTGACAGAGTCTCTTTAGTTTAGTCAGACTGGTACTTTGCCAAAGATTGTTTCCATTTTTTACGTTGTCAAAGTGCTTTGAGATCTTCACAGAGATTATTAATAATTAATTAAAAATAGATTAAAACTATTACACAAACTTATTAGGATTAGCTCTGAAACTTCCTAACTTCTGCACTGAAATCATTTAGTTAGCATTATTCATCAATAAATCAGAGTTGAAGGAGAAGCTTGTTTCTAGGATAAAGCATACAGCTTTACATTCCAGACTGCAACTGAGTAATAAGCAAAACTGGCTGTTTTTGATGCTACATTCCCATTTGCAATAAAAGCAGTGAGAGTTCTAGTTATCATCTGCAGTAAAGCAAGTTTTACTGTCAACCTATACGACTAATGAATGTCAGCTTCCATTTTGGACCAACCACTTCCTTAGCATTAAAAAAAAAAGCATATTATGTTGTGTGTGTGTGAGAGAGAGAGAGAGAGAAATTCCATTACTTAACTTGAAACATATGAAAGATACTGCACAAGAAAAAGCAGGTTTATCTAGCACAATGCAGCAGATACTAGTAACTGTAGCGTTCTTGCAGAGTCACTGATAACAGGAGAGAAACTATCTTCAAAGTTCTCCAAGCAAAATCAGAACATACCTCAAAAGGCTGAAATGAAGAATTAAAGAGCACTACAGTGAAAAATGAAAACCTTGATTCTCCAGAAATATTCCAGTAGGGCTTCAACAAAATAATACCAACCCTCTCCTTGGAAGCACCTCAACATGAAAGCTGTGGAATAAAACTGTGCTACTGTTCATTTTGAGAAATGTGATTAGAATTTTTTTCATGCAACCAAGGACTGAATGGCACATTTCAGAAGCATTTAAATTAAATAATGTTTAAATAGAGATTCTCTTCAAAGACAGTATCTTAAAATATCCCATGACACTATAGGTTTGATCCCATGCCGTTAAATGCACATCATAACTAGAATTTAAGCTGATGCCCACTGGAGTCATACAAAATGCTACGTCAGCATTTCCTTTATAAAGCCTTGTCCTAGGGGTTTGCAATCCAACTATAAAATCTTGCTTTGGCCTGAAACTTGGCAGACTAATGTCTCTTTCCTCAGGAATGATTGTATCTAAAGGTCTATGCAGAGTGCTACATATATCTTTATATAACTGAATACAAAGTGCCTTTTGAGACACAGAAATGGTTAGCTTCCTTCTTCCTCAAGAGGTATTGAGGACTTGTTAATGTTGAACCTACAACAGCATTTTCCTCCATGGAATGGCCAGTTAGTACCAGTAAGAGCATCAACAGAGCTGCAGGTGTGTTAACCACTTCACCCTTTATGTTGATTTTCATCGGATCAAGATGATGCAGCAGCTAAAATGCCACCAGCTGTTACAGCTGAGTAAGGCCTACATTATTATGCTACTAACATTACTAATTCACCTGGAAATGTGTTCATGGTAGCAACGGAAACTGGCTTAGATTGGTGGGGAAGAGAGGTCAGAGTCCCATCTTTGTCTCCTGGCTTTGTACTGCTTCCTCAGTTCAGAGAGGTTTTGTTAAACACACCTCCCCGCTCACACCTGGTACGAATGTAGAGTGTTCAAAACTAGAAATGCATGATATATTTTGACTTATTTGAACATTTATTCAAAATGTGTGAGAGTGGCACTGTTCTGGGAACTCACTGTCCTACAATAAGCAGGAAAAGAGTCAATTCTTGCTCCCTCGATAGGGCCAAGTGTGCTGGGCTAACTGCCTTGCACAGTAATCTGTGCAGCAAATACATCCAAACCATGACGGGCCAAATTATGCTCTGGTTTGCGTTGCTACTGAGAGCACTGGAATTGCTGTGCTGCAAAAGCAGAGATCCAGCCAAAGGTTGCAAAGGATGCCTTGGTGTGTCCACACATTTCAGCAGTTCGGAACAGCCTTGATTGAGCAGTGACTGACAAGTTTTTACATTTTAAAAGAGGCCGTAAACATGACTTTTCAAGATATTAACAGCTCTTTCAGGAACCCTGGGCATTAGCTTAGATTTGTTTTCAAAACCCAAGCCCTCCCTCTGAGATCATTAGCATTCCAATAGGAACCATAAGGTCTGATTTACAAACCTGATTTATCCTAGATACAATTTTAAGCAAGGATTCCTCATCAAGCAGGCTTGATCTGTAAAACATAACTTGTCAGCAAACCACTATAGGAGCAATGCTACAATAAAAAGAAATAGCAGATATATAATGCAATAGCTTCTGCTCTCCAGCCCTGGTCCGTCGCCCGCTGCACCTCCTGGCTCAGGGTGGAAAACAGCTCGCCGAGCTCATCCCTCCAAGAAGGACACTGCCAACATCTGGCAAAGACACAGTTTTGAAAGCCGGACACATCTTCTCATTAACACATATTAAAACTATTGCTTTAGGAAGCACGCTCCCAACGCACCTACAGTGCCAAAGCTAGATGCCCTGAGAGAAAACAATCTGGGTCTCTGCATCAGTACCCCATTCCTTTCATCAGCACTGGGGTTTCACCCTTCGTGTATCATCAGGAAACTGGCTGTGTTTCTCTAGAATCTGTAGTTTGTAAGAAGCGGCCAAATGGGTGAAGCAGCTTTAAGAACTGTTAGAGTAACTATTTCTTTTCAAGAACCCTCATTTTCCAACCTCTCAAGGCTACATAGAAAACATCAGACGACAAAATTGTGGTCTTAGGAAGACTGCTACCCCTGCAAAACACTAGCTGTATCACGCATGAGAAAAATCCATCATTAATCCTATTAACACCATAAAAGAACGATCTGATAGATAAGTATTACTATTAAACGTTATTAGTGGAAATACTGTCCTAGCACAGCCTACCAAGTCACCATAACATCTTTTTCTTCATTGCGTAAAATATGATAAAAAGGTTTCTGTCTTTAAAGATTGCTGGCACAAGAAAAAGGGTGTTAGGGTTTTTTTTTTTCTTCTCTCCAAGTTTCTACAGTTCTGGCACAGATTCTAGTGGAAGCCTAACATGTTCAAACACATTGTGTACCCAGTGCTTCTACAAACCCAAAGGAACATATTTCTTTTAACATATATACTTTGTAAATGATACATTTAATGAGATCATTAAAATGTTTTGATTGCCTGAAAATCCACACTGTTCATAATTTCCATTCTATTAGAAGCTTTTCCATTTTTGTAACAAGCTGAAATTATAAAACAAAGCTACACCCAGTTTTTCTAAGAAAAGAAGTCCAGAGTCTC